ATAGAAAATTTTCTTTTTAAATTTTTTAAAATTTCTTTTAAATTCCGATAGAAATTATTAAGTATGTAATTTCTCTTTTTAACTTTTTCCAATAAGTATAAACTTATTGTACAAATAAAACTGATTGTGATTGTGTTAAATAAAAAACCGGTATAACAAAAACTACCATCTGGCAGCTCCCAACAAAACACGAAAAATGAAACGTCAACAAAATGATTAAACAATAGTGGAAAAAGAAGAAAAATATGTTTTTTGCTTTTGTGAAAAAAACAACGCATTGAAGAACAAACCTTAGAGAAGACAACAAATAATAAATTGGAATAAATTTTATTCAGTAACTGCAATTGCATCGAGTATATATAAATAAAACTAAAGCTCTTTTTGTGTGCTATTTATTTTAATAATATACAACCAAAGATAGTAAGTAGTTAAAAATAGTAAATTAATTAATAGAAAACTTGTTTTTAGAACAAAGTCTACTTTTGTTACAAGCCGAAAAAACACATTTCCGCGTGTTTAAAAAGTGTTATCATTGCGGTCGGTGGTTTACCTCGATTTAGAACTTTAGAAGAAAAAACATAGTTGCAACAAAACCACAATCTTAAAGAATTCTATTTATTACAGTTTACCTGTGTTACTAATAATAAAAACAATATATTTTTATTAATTACAGAAGATAAACAGATTTATCAAACTTTTTAACCAACAATGGCCCAACAACCTGTTGCTTTATTAACCCGCAAGGAGACTTTTAGCGCATGCCATCGTTTACACAGGTAGTAAATTAACACAATTTTTACATAAAATGTTTAATTTCTTTTTAATTGCGTGTTATAGAAATAGAAATCTTATAGCTTTTTTATTGTTGTTTGTTATTAATAATTTGTTCCAAAAAAGCTTCCCTTTCACTTTCATCTTTGTTTATTTTTTGTTTTACTGATTCATATTTTCTTTTTTTGCAGTAAACATTTAAGTGATGCTGAAAATGCTGAAATCTACGGTAAATGTAATAATCCCAATGGCCATGGACACAACTATACGGGTGAGTGAACTTATTGAAACCTATTAAGAATTAATAATTTATTCACACTTTGTCTCCAGTAAGAGCCAAAGAGATCGTATTTAAAAAAAATGTCTATAACTGATACAGTAAACATTGATATGTATAAAAATAGGACAACTTTTTAAAGCGTTTCCTTCACATTGGGTTCAAAGATCGAAAACTTTTTATTATCAAGAATTTAAAAAAAATTAATGGGTTTTTAAAAAAGTAAACAAGAATTTATGCGCTGTTTTGCCATAGTGTCAGTTATAGCAAAGAAATGCTGCTTATGTGGTGGGAATTTTCTATGTTTTGTTTGTTTTTCTTTAAGGTTTTGCCTGAATACTTAGAAATTATTAAAAAACAATAAACAAATTAACCATGGGCGTACGTCAATTTATAATTCTTTAATGTTTTAGAAAAATTAAAATTATATTTTCAAATGAGTTATAGATTTGTAAACATGCGGGCTCTAAAATATTAAAATTAAGTTTCAACTCTCATTTCTACAAACCCAGCATGATGTAATTTAATTCATATATTTTTCTTAATATACATATATACATACTTCTATTTATAAAATATTAATTCAAACTTAAATTGACCACTTTTTAACAAACCCAATTTCATTCTAGTTGTCGAACTTCCTAAAGTTGTTATGTTAAAATACATGACTCAAAATTTCTATATTAAAAACTAACAGCGATCTATTGGTTGTTAAAAGAAATAACTCTGTTACAAATACAGGATTCTGTCTCGGCTAAATAGTCAATTATTATTTAACGCAGGCATGGAAAATTTAATTTTTGAAATAGTATTAACTTTAGGTTTTATAGCACAAAATTAATTTTCCTCTAGACTATAGACTAGACTATAGACTAGACTATTGACTAGACTATAGACTAGACTATAGACTCGACTATAGACTAGACTATAGACTAGACTATAGACTAGACTATAGACTAGACTATAGACTAGACTATAGACTAAACTATAGACTAGACTATAGACAAAACTATAGACTATACTATAGACAAGACTATAGACTAGACTATAGACATGACTATAGACTATACTATAGACAAGACTATAGACTAGACTATAGACATGACTATAGACAAGAATATAGACTAGACTATAGACATGACTATAGACAAGAATATAGACTAGACTATAGACTAGACAATAGAATTGACTATAGAATTGACTATATCCTAGACTAAACTATAGTCTACACTAGAGATTAGACTATAGCCTAGACTATAGATTAGACTGTAGATTAGACTATAGACTAGACTATAGACTAGACTAGACTAGACTAGACTATAGACTAGACTATAGACTAGACTATAGACTAGACTATAGACTAGACTATAGACTAGACTATAGACTAGACTATAGACTAGACTATAGACTAGACTATAGACTAGACTATAGACTAGACTATAGACTAGACTATAGACTAGACTATAGACTAGACTATAGACTAGACTATAGACTAGACTATAGACTAGACTATAGACTAGACTATAGACTAGACTATAGACTAGACTATAGACTAGACTATAGACTAGACTATAGACTAGACTATAGACTAGACTATAGACTAGACTATAGACTAGACTATAGACTAGACTATAGACTAGACTATAGACTAGACTATAGACTAGACTAGACTAGACTATAGACTAGACTATAGACTAGACTATAGACTAGACTATAGACTAGACTATAGACTAGATTATAGACTAGACTATAGACTAGACTATAGACTAGACTATAGACTAGACTATAGACTAGACTATAGACTAGACTATAGACTAGACTATAGACTAGACTATAGACTAGACTATAGACTAGACTATAGACTAGACTATAGACTAGACTATAGACTAGACTATAGACTAGACTATAGACTAGACTATAGACTAGACTATAGACTAGACTATAGACTAGACTATAGACTAGACTATAGACTAGACTATAGACTAGACTATAGACTAGACTATAGACTAGACTATAGACTAGACTATAGACTAGACTATAGACTAGACTATAGACTAGACTATAGACTAGACTATAGACTAGACTATAGATTAGACTATATACTAGACTATAGACTAGACTATAGACTAGACTATAGACTAGACTATAGACTAGACTATAGACTAGACTATATACTAGAATATAGAATGGACTATAGACTAGACTATAGACTAGACTATAGACTAGACTATAGACTAGACTATAGACTAGACTATAGACTAGACTATAGACTAGACTATAGACTAGACTATATACTAGAATATAGAATGGACTATAGACAAGACTACACTATATACTAGAATATAGACTGGACTATAGACTAGACTATTTACTAGACTATTGTGTGGACTTGACTGAACACTGGCATAAAGGCTTGTCTATAGTCTTTAGACTAGACTATAGACCAAATTATAGAGTAGGCATTTTGACGAATGCCTGCTCAACATTAGGAGATAAATTAAATATTACTCTGGTTTCCTTTCACTCATATTAAGAAAAGTAGTATAAGCATTTAACTTAAAATAAGTGGTAATTTGCAATACTTTAATTTTGTGGATGGGTAATTTCCTGTCTCTGGTAAAAGACCTTACTTTCAATGTGCTGTGTTGTTATCTTCGGGATTTACATTCAGATTTAAACCCAGCTTAAAAAATATTAAGCAACAATCTGTTCGAAGGATTAATGCTATAATCTAGGATTAACAATGCTGTTTAAACATAACTAAATAAAACTATTAAGTATTTGGAAGCACATACATATTTTAACAGAAAAGTAAATAAAATATAGATTATTTAATTCTCTTTCTAGCTAATTTTATAGTTTTTACAAAGAAACCCTTTTAGGATTTAAATTTTTATTTTCAATTGTTAATCTTATAACAAGACTCTAGTTAAAACAAATTCATATTAAAACGTAATCATAATTATGTATTATTAGTTGAAGTAACTGTACGTGGTCCCATTGACATACGTACCGGTATGATAATGAATATAACAGATCTTAAATTGGCCATGGATGGTGTTATTTTCAAGCAATTGGATCATAAAAATTTAGACAAAGATGTGGAATATTTTCAAAATGTGGTAAGTTGGAAAATGTTAAAATTTAATAAATAATTGTTTAATTTTTCTTTAAATTCTCCTGTCCACAGCCTAGTACTACAGAAAATTTAACCGTATTCATATGGGAGAATGTACGCCAGGCGCTTAAACGACCCGAACTCTTGTTTGAGGTGAAAATTTATGAAACTGATAAGAATTCGGTTACCTATCGTGGACCTTATATACAAAATGGTCAATATTTTAGTAATAAACGTTCACCTAAAACTAGTTGCAATAATATTTCTTCTGATTCTGATTAAATATGAAGGATAAAGCAAAAAAAAAAAATCTGTTGATATTGGATTTTTTTTTTTAACATTTTGTTGATATTATATGATATACAGGACTATTAAACAGCTATACTTACTTACATACATACTTACTTACGTTTTGAATTAGAGAAACATGCTAACAGCAAAGAGAAAAAACATTGTGATTGTTTTGTTATAAAATGTTTTTATAATAATTTTTATTTTCTTTTTTTTTAATCTGCACTTTTTATTGACCAGTTTCTTGCTATTCCTTTCTATATATAAATAAATCAAACATTTTTATAATAATTTTAAACAATTTTAAGAAAATTTGCTTAAGTTTTTATAAAAGTCTTAAATAAGAATTTAAAAGGATTTGGTTTTTAAGTTATTAACACTTTATTTTGAGACTTTTTATTTTAATATTTTTCTATACTTATGTTCTTTTATTCTTTTAAATTCTTATTTAATTTTATATAAATTTTTAATTCTAAATAAAGTTGTTTCTTTTATTTTTTAATACTTATTTGAATTTACGTACAAATTTTATATTTGGCTTTTATAAAATGAATTTAAAGCTATTTTTTAATAAAAAAAAAACAAAAATATTTTGCTACTAAGTATTTCTAAATTGTTTGTATTTAGTATATAATTTTATTAAAAAATTAATAAAACTGCACATAATTCCATTTTCTTTTTGCCTAAAATTAAATATATTTAAAGTGTTTTATTTGGTTTTCGTTAGAGAGCATAGTTTAGCAGTCTAGTTGTTAAATTTTTTTTGTATTTTATATTTTATATATAATACTATGATATAGAAAATTGGGGTTTTTAGTTTAGAAAATATGTATTTAATAGCTAATATAACAAGCTCCTTTCTTTTAATTCCTTGTTATTTTTTAATTTAGCAAGTTGGATAAAATTTATTTTTATTTAGCTCATTGTACCAATTACAACCTTTGAAATGAATTTCATTTAATTTTGTTACATTATTTTATCTAAAAACTATTTTTTTTAATTATATTTTAGTTATTAAAGGAAGTTTTGGGGATTTTTCTTTATATTCTCTATGTAAGTTGATGATGATAGAACAAGTAGTGTGTTAAAACAAGATAGTCAATACGTATTTTATTACAATAAAGCACTGGATGGAATACAAAAAAGTACCAGAAACTTTCTTTTTAATGATTTTTATTCAATCAGTATGCTGCGTGTTTATCTTTTCGTTTCTAGGTTCAATATTATTAAAGTATCAAAAAGTATCAGATGAAGAATGAAGAAAAGTATCAAAAGCTTTACTCTTATAAATTTTCATTCCATCAGTATCCTATATGTTTGGTTATATGTTTCTAGGTTCAATATTGCAGAAAAATCATAAAGTACCAGTTGAAAAACGAAAAAGTACCAAAAATCCTTGCCTACAGATTTTCATTCACTCAGGACTATAATTGTTCAATTTTATGTTTCTTGAGTCAAGAAACATAAAATTATAGAAAATTCAAAAAGTACCCTTTGAAGAATAAAAAAGTATCAAAATGTCCCCTTTAAGATTTACTCAGTGCTTCAATATTATAAAAAACTCAAAAAGTACCAGTTAAAAACCGAAAAAGTACCAAAATTTTATCTTTTATAGATTCTCATTAACTCCCGGCTCCAAATGCTTAATTACATGTTTCTAGGATCTATATTATAAAAAAGCAGAAAAAGTACCAGTGAAAGAACGAAAATGTACCAAAAAATAGTCTTTAGTGCCGGAGTTCCAAGTAACACTCCATTAGCATATTTAAAGTTATTAAATCTACCACATTCTCTAATTTTATTAAAATTGGCTCAATGAGTTGGAATTACATCAAATTTCCCGTTTTCCCCTTATGGTACTTTGTCCCTATTGAAGTAATAAAAAAATTATTCCAAAATGTTGTACTAACATAATGGGAGCCCTTCTTTAAGTACTGTATAAGTCAATAAATAGGAAAGAATGTTTTATGGAAAAAGTACCAAAAATAGGTACCATTTTTTACCGCTTAAAAGTCGTAATATCCCAAAAGTACAGAATTTGTATTCCGGTTTTTTCGATATGTTACGAATATATTATAAATTTTATTTCTGTGTTCACTGTTTCAAAAGATATATAGGGTATAAAAAATTAGCAAAATACAGTTTTTTACGGTATTAAAAGGCTCGAATTTTAAGTACTACACACCAGCCCACGTATTATTTAAGTTATAACTCTTAGTAGCACAGAAGTAGGCCTTAGTTTCTTAGTTATAAATTGTGGTCCTTTATTATATTTATGACAAATTTTATTCCGATTTTATGATCCATCCAGGTACTTCCTTTATTGAACACTTTATTTAAATATTTTGTAACTGTGTATATTGACGTCTGATACATTTCTGGTTTATAAGTTATATGATCATATGATAATTTTCTTAGAGATAAAAAACTAGTTCGATATTAAATAATAATCACAAAAAAATATTTTTCATACAGTTGTTTTAAAATTAATTGTAAAGACATTGTTTAAAATAAGTTATATAATAATAAAATAATAAAAATCACGTCTATAATATGATCAGTTGAAGAAATCTTTGGTATTAGTAATTGGAAAAGTTTTTATAACTATTTAAATATATAAATTGGTCATGACTATCCGATAAAAACTTGTATAATGTATAAATTGTATTACTAACGGCAATGAATGAATTTTCGCAATCATCACTTAAAATATCATGAAGGATCAGTTAAGTTTTACGTTGCGTTACGTGACGTATCAGCTGATTTATGGTTTTCATACAAAAACTCAACGGCAATCTTACGGCCAAACTAACGACCTACACAGATTTCTGTAAGACAAATATGAATAAGGAGATTTATCACGTACCGGAACGTAGAAACGAAATGAGCCTTAAACCATAAATTGGATAAACCTGAGAGGTGCTTGAAATGAAAGTTGTAAAAATGCAATGGGAAAATTTATAAAGTAATCAATTATCGAACCAAAAAAGTTTATACAAATTTAGTTTTCTTCTTATACATTGTTTAATATGTCTGAAAGAAGGAAGAAGGTTTAAAAGAAGGTAAAATTTTACTTTAAAATCGATAGATTAGACTTTCAGATGACATAATACTTAATATAAAGTTTATAAAGTTATCTACGGTCTATTATTACGTTTCTAATATGACCAAAAACGGTTGTTTTTTTATCATCTTTACAATTTACGTGATTTGTTCTTAATAGTAAATTTTCCACTGGGTACTTGCTGTAGATAAGTGCATTAATCTTTTTAAATAATCTGAATTTTTTATTGGAAAGTTCTATAATTTCAATATGATTTATAAGTGAATATTATCAATATATATATTATCAATCCATAAAAGTTTTAAATATTGTACAATTGTAAATAATTTTTAGATGTTAAGATTTTTTTTATAAAATAATGGTCAAAAATTGCACAGGTCAATAAAATTTGAAAAATGTTGAAATTCTTACTTAAAGGATTTTCTAAATCACATTGGGCTTTCCAGATATCATGTCATAGGACTGAAAAAAACTCGATTTTTGGGAGGTAATATCAGCGCGATGACACATTTAGAAAGTTTATTATGTCATCTAAAAATTTAATCTGTCGACTTAAAAATAAAGTTTTTTCCGTTGTCAGCGCTGCTTAATCCTTTAGAAAAGTATACATTGGTCCCTGGGTTAAAATTATTTGGTCTGTATTATTTTGCCAATATTCTGCAAATTAAGAACTAAATACATATGTATGTATACATATAACGATAAGAGTTCAATATTCGTAAAAAATAAAAAAACAACAATAACAAATGAACACATCATAATAAGTATAATGCCACTTGTATCAATGACACTTGTCACATATAACATACACACAAACAAATAAAAGCTGTATTACCCAAAAACAAAACGAAAACTCTATTACCTACTTCAAAATATATACAAGCTGCATTACCCATAAACAAATACAAGCTGTATATCATTGTTGTTGTTTTTATGCTTTTAATTTATAATTTGTTGAAGAACTTTTCAGAGGTGGTCTCATACTTTTGCTTATATCTCCGTCATTTATGGACCGATTTAGCTAATTTTCAATAGAAAACTTCTCGAAAGCATGTCTGATAGAAATATTATCTTAAGATATATTGGGTCTTCAGAAAATTGATTTCAACAAAACATATAGACAAACAGACGGACATGACTTATTGAACTTCGCTATCTATAAGAATCCGGAATATACATGCATACATATGTATATATGTATGTACATAAAATTTTTTATGATCGAAAAATTATACGTCTGTAGATATTATTAAAGGAATGACAAACTTATATGTGCATATCTTTCTCACGTAGGTAAAGGGTATAAAAATTATAAAATTTTTGTAAAAACGTTTTAAAAATTCTTGGTAATCTGACCTTTGACCCTTTTTTATCAATTTTTAATTTTAACAATAAGAATGGGGAGCGCCCCGGGTGCTTAATCTATGAAGTTTATAAAATTTAGATAGATTACTTTTACATTTGTTTAACAAATTGAATATTCGCTTAAGTTGGGTTTTTGAAAACAGATTCCTGCAAAATGTTAATAATACAATTTACAAAATGTTAATAATACAATTTCGACCAATTTACATATATAATGTATGTAGTATATCTAACTATATAAATATTATATTTAATATAAATTCTATGTTTAATAAGCCATTATTTATATCATAATATATTTTCTTTAAACTACTTTATAGATTTTTTTAATAAAAACCTAATATAATTCAATCCTACTTATATTTTAAAATTTTTAATAAAAAAAAAACAATTGTGCAACATGTTTTTATATCACTTTTTAAGTTAATAATGATTTTTGGACAATTATTCACTTCGTTTTAACCGTAACAGACAATTAACAAAAATACTTCTAAACGAAGTTAGAAGTTTTTATATATTTTTTTAACACCAACAATACCCTAATGTTCGTTTATTTTTCTATATAAATCGAAGCATTGGATTTCCTGAATGTTTGTATCACTTGTTTATAATTTAAACTATTTCCACTTAAAGTTTTTTAAATATTATTTTTAAAATCCTTACCGGGATTTCGTATACTTATAAATGGTATACCTAATTCAAAATCATTAACGGGCCAATATTTAAGTAGCGGTCGCCTTTGTGGCAATTCGTTTTCCACATAGAAATATGCATAAACCACGAGTACCGTATATGCAGCTATAAAGATGAATACATGCCAGAAACCATGTAAGTAGGGAAAACTTATTGAAGACCAAACATCACAGAACATACGATCATTTATCCAACAGATGACGGCTATCAGCCAAACTGCTGTGGAGCGCAGACCTAAGCGATAGACACGTTGATCTTGTACTCTGAAAGAAGAGAAAGAATATGATTGTGAGATATTGAAATATTTCAGTTATTATCAAATTTTAAAATAATATTTTTTTACGTTTTAAAGTACTAAACTAATTTTCCCCAAGACTAACGACTAGGCTATCGACTGAGCCACGGACAAAACTATAGACTGGATTATGTACTATACTATACATAGAATGTGCGTTTCATACAAGATAAACTTTCAATAGCGGGTGGTGATACATAAGGAATTTGTGTAAATCATAACAACCCGCACGCCGGAAAGCATATTCTTGTAATAAATATTCTGTGCTATTTGCTAGACTATAGACTAGACTATAGACTAGACTATAGACTAGACTATAGACTAGACTATAGACTAGACTATAGACTAGACTATAGACTAGACTATAGACTAGACTATAGACTAGACTATAGACTAGACTATAGACTAGACTATAGACTAGACTATAGACTAGACTATAGACTAGACTATAGACTAGACTATAGACTAGACTATAGACTAGACTATAGACTAGACTATAGACTAGACTATAGACTAGACTATAGACTAGACTATAGACTAGACTATAGACTAGACTATAGACTAAACTATAGACTAGACTATAGACTAGACTAGACTATAGACCAGACTAGATTAGACTACTAGACTAGACTATAGACCTAGACTATAGACTATAGACTATAGACTAGACTATAGAACTATACTAGACATAGACTATAGACTAGACTATAGACTAGACTATAGACTAGACTATAGACTAGACTATAGACTAGACTAGAACTAGACTAGACTAGACTATAGACTAGACTATAGACTAGACTAGACTAGACTATAGACTAGACTATAGACTAGACTAGACTATAGAACTAGACTATAGACTAGACTATAGACTAGACTACTAGACTAGACTATAGACTAGACTATAGACTAGACTATAGACTAGACTATAGCTAGACTATAGACTAGACTATAGACTAGACTATAGACTAGACTATAGACTAGACTAGACTAATAGACTAGACTATAGACTAGACTATAGACTAGACTATAGACTAGACTATAGACTAGACTATAGACTAGAACTATAGACTAGACTATAGACTAGACTATAGACAGACTATAGACTAGACTATAGACTAGACTATAGACTAGACTATAGACTAGACTATAGACTAGACTATAGACTAGACTATAGACTAGACTATAGACTAGACTATAGACTAGACTATAGACTAGACTATAGACTAGACTATAGACTAGACTATAGACTAGACTATAGACTAGACTATAGACTAGACTATAGACTAGACTATAGACTAGACTATAGACTAGACTATAGACTAGACTATAGACTAGACTATAGACTAGACTATAGACTAGACTATAGACTAACTATAGACTAGACTATAGACTAGACTATAGACTAGACTATAGACTAGACTATAGACTAGACTATAGACTAGACTATAGACTAGACTATAGACTAGACTATAGACTAACTATACTAGACTATAGACTAGACTATACTAGACTATAGACTAGACTATAGACTAGACTATAGACTAGACTATACTACTATAGACTAGACTATAGACTAACTAGACTAGACTATAGACTAGACTATAGACTAGACTATAGACTAGACTATAGACTAGAGACTAGACTATAGACTAGACTATAGACTAGACTATAGACTAGACTATAGACTAGACTATAGACTAGACTATAGACTAGACTATAGACTAGACTATAGACTAGACTATAGACTAGACTATAGACTAGACTATAGACTAGACTATAGACTAGACTATACTAGACTATAGACTAGACTATAGACTACTATAGACTACTATAGACTAGACTATAGACTAGACTAGACTAGACTATAGACTAGACTATAGACTAGACTATAGACTAGACTATAGACTAGACTATAGACTAGACTATAGACTAGACTATAGACTAGACTATAGACTAGACTATAGACTAGACTATAGACTAGACTATAGACTAGACTATAGACTAGACTATAGACTAGACTATAGACTAGACTAGACTAGACTATAGACTAGACTATAGACTAGACTATAGACTAGACTATAGACTAGACTATAGACTAGACTATAGACTAGACTATAGACTAGACTATAGACTAGACTATAGACTAGACTATAGACTAGACTATAGACTAGACTATAGACTAGACTATAGACTAGACTATAGACTAGACTAGAGACTAGACTATAGACTAGACTATAGACTAGACTATAGACTAGACTATAGACTAGACTATAGACTAGACTATAGACTAGACTATAGACTAGACTATAGACTAGACTATAGACTAGACTATAGACTAGACTATAGACTAGACTATAGACTAGACTATAGACTAGACTATAGACTAGACTAGACTAGACTATAGACTAGACTATAGACTAGACTATAGACTAGACTAGACTAGACTAGACTATAGACTAGACTATAGACTAGACTATAGACTAGACTATAGACTAGACTATAGACTAGACTATAGACTAGACTATAGACTAGACTATAGACTAGACTATAGACTAGACTATAGACTAGACTATAGACTAGACTATAGACTAGACTATAGACTAGACTATAGACTAGACTATAGACTAGACTATAGACTAGACTATAGACTAGACTATAGACTAGACTATAGACTAGACTATAGACTAGACTATAGACTAGACTATAGACTAGACTATAGACTAGACTATAGACTAGACTATAGACTAGACTATAGACTAGACTATAGACTAGACTATAGACTAGACTATAGACTAGACTATAGACTAGACTATAGACTAGACTATAGACTAGACTATAGACTAGACTATAGACTAGACTATAGACTAGACTATAGACTAGACTATAGACTAGACTATAGACTAGACTATAGACTAGACTATAGACTAGACTATAGACTAGACTATAGACTAGACTATAGACTAGACTATAGACTAGACTATAGACTAGACTATAGACTAGACTATAGACTAGACCATATACTAGACTATTGCATAGAATTAAACACGCAGCGTCCTGATTGAATGAACATTTATTTAAATGGAGTTCTGAAAATCTATAAAAGGAGACTTTCTTGAACTTTTTCGTTTTTCAACTGGGACGTTTTTGAATTTGATAGTGAAGGGTATGTAAGATTCAGCACAGTCGAATAGAGAACTTGTTTTATTTCGTATGTGTGGTAAATGATTAAGAGATATGCTCTATTTAAATTTTCCATTCTTGCTAATATCGATCATACATTTTTATTATAGCTAAAGTTTAGTTAGTCTAAATAAATATAATTAATTATTTGTGACGCCATTCCAATGACCAAGTTTATTGCACCTGAATCCGAAGCTGTCAATTGATAAAATACTTATATATCATAAATTATGTTTAACATTTTCATTGTTTAAATAAAAACGTACTTTGCTGAAATACTTACATATAAATATACATATGTACATAAGTACGTACATACATATGTATATATATTGAATGATTAATAACGAATTTTTATATTATTTTAACACCACCCTTGTTTTCTGTTGAAAGTACAAAACAAAGGTGTTTTCTATGATAAATAAATATTTACAAAAATTTGTATTAATATGTTGTTTTTAAAACAAATACGAAAATTATAGATAAAACTTTTCAAAGAAAATTTATTAACGCAAGTTCAATAAAAGTCACGTTCATAAAATTGTACCTTTGAACGATCAATATCTCACGACATGTTTAGGTTTCGAAACCAAGTCACATTTTGAATATGTTCATCAAACAAATCCAAACATGTCGTGAGATTTTGATCATAATTTTATTAACGTGACTTATCTATAGATGTTTAATTTGATTCTATTTCGAATTAATTCGGTCAAAATATTCGATCTCTTGTAGCACCTATATCACATAAAGATGTTACAAAATACAAAAAATTTGAATGTACATATCTATATCATCCCTTAGTTTCACAGAATATTCATGATCTGCCGAAAGGTTAAAGTAGTTTTTATTTCCAAATTTGGTAAAAGGACGAGTCACGAGAAGACAAAAGATTTTCTTCATCCAATTAGTCTTTCATCTTTTTCAAAAAGTTGAAATATCTTAGTGGAAGCCCATCATTGTGTACTCATATGTAGAAATCAATGAATAGGACAGAATGTTTAATGAAAAAAGTATCAAAACTAGTACAATTTTCAGCCCTTAAACGTCAAACTTTAAGTTTAGATATCTAGAAAACTAGATGTGATAAATACATTTAGGCATCAGTTTCGAATTTGGTGTAGCTTTATGACTTACATAATTTAGTCCATGGGTTTTGATGTTTTCAATTTAGAAACTTTGTAGACCAGTGTTACCTTTAGCCTATCAAATATTAGTACGTCTAGTTTTATGTATAATTCTTAATATTTAATCTACCAAAAACAAAAAAAACTTACCTCTTTAATTCTTTGTATAACATGACCATGGTAGGTACACCCATACCCATTAATACAAAAGCATTAACTATAGGCTTCCATATGGAGAGTCCTGTTGCTGTTAGTGCGAATACAAACATTAGTACACTAAAAAGACGTCTATAAAACCAGAGAAAATATATTTAAGGTTATTGTTAGAATTGTTATGGTTTTTTATTGGAAAACTATTAAGTAAATTAAGTATGATTAGAAGGGTTTTTTCTAGCAACTAAAATTATTCTACTACGTCACAGTATGTATAGCAAAAAGATAAATACATACATATGTACATTAGGGATATAACTATTTTCATTCTTTACAAATATGCAAGTTGGCATATCATAGTCGAATAGAGTATTAAAAACTATGAGAAACTAAATTATTATTTTTTCGCGCTTGGTAAAAAAGTTCACGCAACAAATGTCTGTCCGTCTGTTTTTTAAAATCAGTTTTTTGAAGGCTCCATATGTCTTCGGAATCCAAATCTTTGATAATTAATTTAAATATGCTTTTAAGTATTTAGTTGTTTAAAACCAGTAAAATCGGTCCATAAGAATCGGAGATATGGTCAAAACAAATATTATCAACATATAACTTTTTGTGCACTTTTTGATTTAGGGATGTAAAATAGTATATTTGCGAAAAATCAAAAAGTTCGGAGATATAGGCAATGATGAGTGGCGATGTGACAAAAATATACTTCTAGGTAGAAATGCCCATATATAAATATTTTAATCTTAAAATTAAAAAAAATTTGGTTTATATTAGAAATTGGGGTTGGTGCGTGATGTTTTTGATTTCAAATGACCTAACAAAAATATTTTCAATAATTATACAACATTGGCCATCTCGTGGTGGTATGCCAAAAATTTCGCCAAATTAGTTATATCCCTAATGTACATACATATGTATGTACGTAAACCGCAATGACTTTAATTTACATGGGAAAATATAAGATGGGAATATGTTTATACCCTATACTACTAAATCTATAGTTTTGATTATTGTCTATAGTCTAGTCTATAGTCTAGTCTATAGTCTAGTCTATAGTCTAGTCTATAGTCTAGTCTATAGTCTAGTCTATAGTCTAGTCTGTATAGTCTAGTCTATATAGTCTAGTCTATAGTCTAGTCTATAGTCTAGTCTATAGTCTAGTCTATAGTCTAGTCTATAGTCTAGTCTATAGTCTAGTCTATAGTCTAGTCTATAGTCTAGTCTATAGTCTAGTCTATAGTCTAGTCTATAGTCTAGTCTATAGTCTAGTCTATAGTCTAGTCTATAGTCTAGTCTATAGTCTAGTCTATAGTCTAGTCTATAGTCTAGTCTATAGTCTATAGTCTAGTCTATAGTCTAGTCTATAGTCTAGTCTAGTCTAGTCTATAGTCTAGTCTATAGTCTAGTCTAGTCTAGTCTATAGTCTAGTCTATAGTCTAGTCTATAGCTAGTCTAGTCTAGTCTATAGTCTACTATAGCTAGTCTATAGTCTAGTCTAGTCTAGTCTATAGTCTAGTCTATAGTCTAGTCTAAGTCTAGTCTATAGTCTAGTCTATAGTCTAGTCTATAGTCTATCTATAGTCTAGTCTATAGTCTAGTCTATAGTCTAGTCTATAGTCTAGTCATAGTCTAGTCTATAGTCTAGTCTATAGTCTAGTCTTAGTCTAGTCTATAGTCTAGTCTATAGTCTAGTCTATAGTCTAGTCTATAGTCTAGTCTATAGTCTAGTCTATAGTCTCTATAGTCTAGTCTATAGTCTAGTCTATAGTCTAGTCTATAGTCTAGTCTATAGTCTAGTCTATAGTCTAGTCTATAGTCTAGTCTATAGTCTAGTCTATAGTCTAGTCTATAGTCTAGTCTATAGTCTAGTCTATAGTCTAGTCTATAGTCTAGTCTATAGTCTAGTCTATAGTCTAGTCTATAGTCTAGTCTATAGTCTAGTCTATAGTCTAGTCTATAGTCTAGTCTATAGTCTAGTCTATAGTCTAGTCTATAGTCTAGTCTATAGTCTAGTCTATAGTCTAGTCTATAGTCTAGTCTATAGTCTAGTCTATAGTCTAGTCTATAGTCTAGTCTATAGTCTAGTCTATAGTCTAGTATAGTCTAGTCTATAGTCTAGTCTAGTCTAGTCTATAGTCTAGTCTATAGTCTAGTCTATAGTCTAGTCTATAGTCTAGTATAGTCTAGTCTATAGTCTAGTCTAGTCTAGTCTATAGTCTAGTCTATAGTCGAGTATGTAGGATAGCTAGAGGCATTTAGCGATTTCGAATATTTTCTAATTCAATGAATTTCCCTGCCAAAATATGAATCAAATTTATGTTTCAAATGTTTCAAAATTAAATGAGATTTACATCGATAAATCGATGTACACTATCGGACAAAATAAAGTGCAAAAGTAAATTCACTTCTTTGTCGGACAAAATAAAGTGTAAATTTTATATAGCATTATTTAAATTTCTTGTATATCAAAATTGTTTATATATTTTGGTTCTGATTTGCATATCTGGATATACTTAAGCCATTTTGGTAATTTTTCCCCCATTGTTTTTCGTAATCGCCTCCCCTTCCCCTTGCTTTCCCCATATGATTATTTTCAAAAGAAATCCGTTTTTGATTACTATTCCATCGGAATTTTTTGATCAATTGTGGCCCAAAATTAATCTATTGGATTTAGGGCGGTGCTCTGAGCAACTTATTCCAATTTTTCAGTGTTCTTTCCTACAGTAATGTTATTTTTTAACTTTATCAAGTGCTTAAGCTTATTATCTTGCCGAGATATAAAGTTGAACAAGTCCATTTCGAAGGCACTGATCTTAAAATTTGACGGTAATGTGCTCACATGGTGTTTACTGGAGCTTTTTGAATAAATTTCCCCTAGGTTCCCCACACCTAACGTTAAAAATTGGACACATACGAAGAGTCAACTTAACCATATTTTCAATCTTTCACCAACATATTTAAAAGCATGGATATTTTTTTCGATTTTAGTATTTAATTTTGTATTTTTTAGCTCAAATTTGCGTAATTGGTTTTAAAATGTGGACAATGAGTGTGAATTTAGCCCAATATTTTAAAAACCATACCCCAGGTTTTAAACATTATGGTGGATGGCTATCGGTATTGTTACATTATTCAACTTTAGGAGCGGGAATCGTAGTGAAAATGGAGTAAACAATAACAAATGAGCAATTCACGAGCGTATTTAATACAAATTTTGAAATAAATGCCGTAAAAAGGGATTTGGGAGACTTAATGCCTCAACAGATTCATGGCTTCAAACACACGACAAAGGTTAAAAACATTTCTGTTTAAAAAACAAACACTGAAAAATTGGAATGACCTGCTCAGAGCATCGCCTTAAATCCAATTGATTAATTTTTGACAGCAATTGATTAAATATTCCGCTGAAATAGCGAACAAAAACGGATTTCTTTTGAAAATTATCGTATAGTGGAAAGCAAGGGGAAGGGAAGGCGATTGCGAATAATATTGGTAAAAAAATACAAAAATGTCTTAAGTTGATCTAGATATTCAAATCAGAATCAAAATAGATAAAAAATTTGGATATACAAGAAATTTAAATAATGATATATAAAATTTACACTTTATTTTGTCCGACAAAAAAGTGAATTTACTTAAATTTATTTATGTTATACAGAAAAATTTAAGATGGAATAATTTTGTTTTATTGTTATTTTTGTAGCATTGTATATAAACTAAATGAATATTAAAAAAAATCCATATTCAATAATCATTTAACCGATTTTTCGCTGAAAGAATATAGCATGAGCACTTTTGCACTTTATTTTGTCCGATAGTGTAGTTAAATAAAGTCTGAAAGCGATTTGGTATTGAAATTATTTAAACAGTTTTTAGGCGCTAATCCACTATAATAAAAAAATGATCATGAAATTATTTTGATTAAATGGAAACCGCTTAATCGACAACATTGATTAATAATAAGCTTTCAGTATATTAATTCAATATTTATTATTTTGAAATCCTAAGCACTATTTAAACAAAATGCTTAAACTTACCTGTTACCTTTACAAAATCTTGGAAAATATTTCATAGGGCAAAATAAAGAATATGCAGCCATAAATACCCATAATATGGCCAATTCATCCAATAATTGACCGATAAGACTTAAAGTAGCATGAAAATACATAGAACTAAGACCAACAATTATAAGTAGAGCCCAAAGTACATGAATGCCTTGCGTAACGAAACGTCCATATTCTTTGAATAGATACATTAATACCGGCGGCAGTAATAAAAACAGAAAATTACTTATCTATAAAAAAAGAGAAAGAAAGCGAAAAGAAAGAAATATAACAAAGATAAAACCACAACTGTAAAATATTGAAAAAAAAAGAAACGTTCAAAGTTTAAATATTTTTTTCAAAATTAAAAATATATAGTACTTGATTTGAATTGTTTAGTTAGCTAGTAAGTGCATAGTATTTCAAGTAAAAGATTAAAAACAAATTATTTAGAATTTATTATTATTATTTATGTTAAATCTTATCAACAATTGTTAAAACTATTACTAGCAACTGTTTTACACATACATGTATACATAGTTTTAGTACTAGTAAATAATTATTATCACTAAAACAAAATTTATTTTAATGTTATGTGAATTTAATTCTTTATTTTAAAATATTTCTGTTAATGAAAATGCTTATAAAAATATTAAATGTATTACATACAGATACAAAATCACAGTTTTGAAAGAACTGATTCTTTTAAAAAGAATGCAGAGAGAGCTTTTACTGTTCTTCTTGTCTATAGTCTAGTCTATAGTCTAGTCTATAGTCTAGTCTATAGTCTAGTCTATAGTCTAGTCTATCGTCTAGTCTATCGTCTAGTCTATAGTCTAGTCTATAGTCTAGTCTATAGTCTAGTCTATAGTCTAGTCTATAGTCTAGTCTATAGTCTAGTCTATAGTCCTAGTCTATAGTCTAGTCTATAGTCTAGTCTATAGTCTAGTCTATGTAGTCTATAGTCTAGTCTAGTCTGAGTCTATAGTCTAGGTCTACTAGTCTAGTCTATAGTCTAGTCTATAGTCTAGTCTATAGTCTAGTCTATAGTCTAGTCTATGTCCTAGTCGATAGTCTAGTCTATAGTCTAGTCTATAGTCTAGTCTATAGTCTAGTCTATAGTCCTAGTCTATAGTCTAGTCTATAGTCTAGTCTATAGTCTAGTCTATAGTCTAGTCTATAGTCCTAGTCTATAGTCTAGTCTATAGTCTAGTCTATAGTCTAGTCTATAGTCTAGTCTATAGTCTAGTCTATAGTCTAGTCTATAGTCTAGTCTATAGTCTAGTCTATAGTCTAGTCTATAGTCTAGTCTATAGTCTAGTCTATAGTCTAGTCTATAGTCTAGTCTATAGTCTAGTCTATAGTCTAGTCTATAGTCTAGTCTATAGTCTAGTCTATAGTCTAGTCTATAGTCTAGTCTATAGTCTAGTCTATAGTCTAGTCTATAGTCTAGTCTATAGTCTAGTCTATAGTCTAGTCTATAGTCTAGTCTATAGTCTAGTCTATAGTCTAGTCTATAGTCTAGTCTATAGTCTAGTCTATAGTCTAGTCTATAGTCTAGTCTATAGTCTAGTCTATAGTCTAGTCTATAGTCTAGTCTATAGTCTAGTCTAT